GGGAAAGCACTCTTTTCCATTCTCGCAGAATTTACAGTAATTATGCATGCTGGAGGTCAAGATTCCACGCCGCCTCGTGATGCAGCCCTATCATCCCAGCCGACGCCCTTTTCCACCCACACGTAAGAAAAAACCAAAACGCAACCAATATGAGTACAAGTAGTAAATTGCAAAACAATAACCGTTTTGACGATCTGGCTGCTTCAAGTTCAGGATAAAAAAGCATAATCACACTGGCAAGGCTGCTGCGTTGCTACCTGGGTTGCATTCATGAAAGATTAAAAAACGCGTATTCAGGTTATGCAAATTTCGAATCGACTGCGGACGAAAGTGGCACGTCCACGGGTTTCTCCAACTCAGGCTCTTGCTACTATACCATTCACCGCATCGCCACAACAAATAGCACCTGCTTTTATTGGAAGGTTCACGCCGCCACGACAACCGCAACCTATCCTGCCGGCATCAACAGCAGATGTAGTACCAGCGACACCACGGCAAACAGTTTCCGGATTTCCACCACAACTTGTACCATCCATCCCTGCCACCGTAACAAAACCGTTACCACAAATACTGCCACAAACAGTACCGATGGCTTCACCCGTGCCAGAAAATTTCCGCTTTACTGTTGAACAGGTATGCTTCTCTTGCACTTCAGCCCGCTGTTTTACAGAATCACACGACTCCTTTCGTACTCGGTGTTTTTTTGGTCATTGATAAGGAAGCACTTGCGTCACCATAGCTGACAAATGAGAAAATCGAACGCCAGTAAACCAGCGTTCTATCTTCCTTTACAACAACAGGGGTAAAGTGCAGTAAATATTGAACTAATAGTGCATCTAACAAAAAATCCCTCACTAGCTTCAGCCTTCTGTATCTGCGGAATGTCGGGTTCGTGACTGGAGATCAACCAACAGCTACCAAATTTAAAAAGCTGAAATTTCGAAAAACATAAATCACTGTCGTTCACTTCCAACCTAAAAGCGACTTTTAGATCACATTCTGTTCTCAACTTTAGCATCAGCCCTTTTCCAATCCACTCGCTCCCGATAATTCAGTTTCATTCCCCAATTCGAGAACCAGGGAAGCTGTGAGTTCGAGGCGCTGCGTTTACAAGGCAACGCAAGTTAATTAATTTAATGTGATGCAGTTTTTTGGTTTACAACCTAAAACTCCAATTTAAGCCTGCGTAACTAACTATAAAACAAAACAATCTTTAAATCCAAGATTTTGAGAGTTCTGGACAGTCAGATGAATTAAAATCTGCCAAATGGATTATGACTCACGGGATAGTTTATGACGCACTTTTGCATTTCGGGACCACTCGGGTTCCCTGTAAGCAACATCATTTATACACGCAAAATGACGCAAACAAAAGACCAGAAAATGCATTTAAAAAGTTGCATATAGTGTTTCAAAAATTAAAGCTTGTATTTATCTTAATTTAATAGATATCAAGATGAATACCAGCACTCCCTTCATCTCCCTCACTGGCGAAATTTCGTTCAGTTTAAAATGGCTTCTCTGCTTGTTATTGATGGAATTTCCAGCTTTGTCGGTTTTTCGCTGTTCTAATTTTGACAAAAAATAGGAAATTTATAGAGTTTTTAGAGTCACCCACGTATTTACCCCAAAGTGACGATTTTAGTACCTCTTGACGGAAAAAGAAGACAGCAGTCTTGCTCACTTCTTGCACACCTCACCGATTCGTAGCAGAATATTGCTTTCTTTAGTTATATGCCATTTTTGCGCCTTTCCCCGCATCTGGCAGCTTTCATTGATCATTTCTAAAAAAAATAAGATGTACTGCTGAAAACTCCAGTCAACATGCCAGTTTCAGTTTGCTTCATAACGAACCAATGGACTGTGGAGGGATTTGTTTTTCTGGTGGCCAGTTTCGATGCAAAACTGTCGATGCCATAAATTAAAAATGCCAACTTAAGTAAAAGTCCGCTAAATTTTTGACAAGCTTCAGATGCGCGCACCAGTGATTCCGCAAGCTATACAACCGGTTCATGAACGACAGCGTCTCACTCAAGTCATCCCGGTATCCAATCTTGCTACCGTCCAGGCACCGTAAGTTCTGTTTCCATAAAGTTCTACTCAGTATGCAGTGAGTAATGCTTCTGATGATTTGTCTTATGCACTTATTAATGAATTAGTTAATATTGGTGCGCGCTGCAGTTAGAGTTTGAATCTAAAGCAATAAGTCTTAGCACAAAGCTATGCTCCAGCTATTTTAACGCGTTACGTGTGAGAGTGTGTGATAGATCGGTACATAATGCGCATTTTGTGAAGTTACGCACCGCAGCTTATTGAGTCAATCCCAAATTCAGCTTGATACCACTGTCTCAGAACAAGCTAAGCTTAAAAGCCGGATTTTGAAAGCTCACAACCGTCAGTGGATCCAAAGGTCATCGGGTGCCAGCAGAATTAGTAAACAACATTTAGAATAAGGGAGGAAAGACTCTGCGTAAATAATGATCAGGTGACCATTAATCAGTGAATCTGCCAATTACCAATCTGGTGGTTAACGCTTCGTGCACACGCCCA